GGGAAACACAATTCCCCTCTAGGGAAAAAAAAAAAAAAAAAAAGTTTAGGAGGAATAAGGAACATAAGGAGTGATAAAATCTTTATAGACATATTTTCTTATTGGTATATTAACTCCATGAAAAATTACATATAATACCTTTGATAGAACTCATATTGGTAAGAGTGGTGTACTGAAAGAATCAGTGCCTCAGTGCAACTGTTAGTTTTATCATTTTAATTAAAGAAAAAAGAAGGAAAAAAACGCCTGTCTGATTACTCTTCCTATTTTGCATGATTAAGTATGACAAATATGAGCGTCTTTACTAAGAAACTGACTCCAGGTAATGACTCAAATGCCAACTATATATGTATTTAGTCTGATAACAGCCAAACCTCTTGAAATTCTAGACTATTGTGTTAACAAAATATGTTCTATTTCAAAAGTATGTCTTTTTTTGCTAGAAATTAGTTTTCTGCTATCCTCAAGCTAGAAACTTTTAACAATGTTCAATTCAGTTGAATGTAATCTTAAATTCTTCATGAGGAATAAATGTTAATATTCAAATACTAACCTTGAATATTTATGTCTAAATTACAGGGTCCGTTCTTGCACCTTGCAGGATCACAGGTGTAGGAATTTATCTTGAGGAGAAAGTGAATTTCTCAGAAGCAAGTAATGCATGTAATCAACTGAATCTACAATTGGCGAGTAAAGACCAAGTTGAGAAGGCTTTGAAACATGGCTTTGAAACATGCAGGTATATGACATCAGTTAGTGTCTCATTACCTTGAGTGAATGCCTTTACATACATCTGAGGTTGGTGATAAATCTAATATTAAAAGGACTGATGCTTCTTATTGTAGCTATGGATGGGTGAAAGATGAATTTGTTGTCATTCCTCGGATAACACCCAACAGGAAATGTGGTAAGGGCAACACTGGACTGGTGCTATGGTATGCCGAACACTTTAGAACATTTAAGGTTTACTGCTTCAATTCCTCAGGTATGTAAGCATGACAACTAAATTTTTTGTGTTTTGGTTTAGTTTAGTTTGTTTGGTTTTTTTAATATCTGCATGAAAAAATCATAACAAGTGAGTGAGTTCTTATAATTTGTTGTTCCTTTCCCCTCAATGTCTTAAATGTTGTCAAGCTGTACTTAGCTCTGTAGGGGAAAAAAGCACCCAAGAAATACAAAAGGTCAGTTCAGCTAATCTGAATTCATAACTTGGTGCTGCCCTGAAAGCTCTTGAACAGTTGCTTTCACCATTCTGTAATGTTGACAAAATACTCTTAATATGTTTTGATTATTTAGGCACGTTAATTTGAAAGACAGTGAATGGACTCTTTAACCACCACCTGTGTGTGGGGTGTGTTTTTTTGCAAAAAGAGGAAGAGTGGGGTACTAGGAAAAGTTGAATATTTTTTGATAAAAAGAAATGTATCCATAAAACTAAATTAACATATAAGCTAGAACAGCTGAGGGACTATAAAATTAACTAGATTCCCAATCTATTATCTGATTTTACTGATTTAACAGCTTCCTGTAATGTGCATCATCCTGTGTGGGAAAAGACCTGTCCTTCCCTTCATTCTTGACTGTCTGTTCCCAGATTGAAGATACAGCAGTGGAACTTGGGCCTTGATATAAGTTAGATCTTCTCAGCACAATAGATCAGTATTGTTTCTTAATGACTTCTGTGGTATTAACTAAAACTAAGTATTTGACTAGAGGCATTGTGTTCCTGCTAGTGTCCCATATCTATGGTAACTATGTAACAACTATCCCAGTAATTAGACCATATACAGGATCAGTAAATTATTTCTAATCAGTCCCTAGACCTTGCCAATGAGTTTTAGATAATAAGAGTAAGAGATTATGTGCAAAATCCTGAAATTTTTCAGGAAAGATGTGTGAACAAGGGTTGGAAAGAGCAGGAGAAAGATGGATATGCAAGATATGCCCATGCAAAGACATAAAGACTTAAGAACATGTCTGGTAACTGTGAACACTGGAGGCTTACGACGAGATTGAAGATGAGACTGAAGATAAAGGTGTTAGGCCATGCCTTCACCAGTGGGACTTTGTTCATGATCCTGAGCCATTTTAGTGAAGGAGGGTATTGGTGAATCCATAGGTGACTAGTACTTAGGTAACAGGCTCTGAAAGAAGCTGCTTCTATTGGTACTGTTATTTCTTCTGTTCCTATGCAACATGGTGTTTCATTCCATTAAATATGTGTCATTCTGCATCAGAAATGTTAGGTAGGTCGGATAATGCGAAGGAGGTAGCAAGTAATTCCAAAATACTTGCTTTGTTTAGCTTTAATTCAAAAAAGTTACAGTATGTCAAGTTAAGCTTGCTGAATGGTTAGAAAATAACATTGGGATGATTCTGCATTTCTTTATCTTAATTGCCAAAACGTTGCCTGTTCTAGGCATTTCTTACCCAAAATATCTGGCAGGAGTTCATTCTGTCAATTTTCTTTGTGCCAAAGAAATGCCAAAATCACTTGAAAACTAGTGGAAAAAGTAAAAAGCCTCTGCCATTTAGCTTTTTATTCTGTGAATGTAACTGCGTCATCAGGCTTCCCATGGGGATTCACATGGAGAACAGTACATACGTCATTTCCCTGTTATTTATGTTGTAATCTGCTTGTTGCTTTACTGAAATTTTTATAGCTTTACAGAATATAGAACTTCACTAGAAAAGAATTTTCACATTTTCACATGAGCCTGATTCAGAACTCAGCTTTTCCATTTACATATAAAAATCCACTTGCATCCAAGTTTTTATATAGACAATATTTACATCATTTAAATTACTTAGTTTCTGAGTGTGCCTGAAGTTTGTTTCTTTCTAGCCCCCATTAGAATCGTGTCACTTTTTTATCTCACACTGGTGCCTGGTTTACCGGAAATCTTTATGGGCTACTTTTGTTTTCAGGAAATCAAAGTGTTCCAAGTATCAACAGTGCATGCATATGTTTTGAACATATACATAATGTAACAGAAATATTTTTGAATCTTGGATCTGCAGTTAAGTCTCCTGCTCCGCAGGAGGTCATATTATTGTTTTTTATATGCATTATTTTTCCAAGTACTTTTCAGAAGGAATCTTGGCGTTGGAATGCAATTACAAAATGAGCACCACACTTGCTCAAAAAAGTGTTCAACTATGTGAATAATGATAAAAGGTGCATGATCTGGGTTGGAGCCACATATTTGAAATAGGCATGCCTGATTTGGGTAAGGCTTTTGTGAATAAACAAATAATAATTTCCAGAAGGGAGTGACTGAAGGACAACTTCAATAAACATATGTGTAAAGTAAGTACAAAACTAACATCCAAACACAACTCTTATGTATTTCCTTTTCCTGCTGCAGATTTTCAGATTAATTCATGTAAACCAGATCCAACTACAACCATACTACCTTCATCAAGTGCACTAACGGACTTAACTGCATATTCAGGCTCTGATTTGACTGAGAACATCACAGCAGTGCCCACTGTGACTGAGTCAAAACGCTCCCTGAAAAATATAAAATTCCGTGTAATATGTATAACTGAAACTATATTACCAACAGAGGGGACTACTACAAAAATGCCAGAGGAATACTCACCGATTGAGTCTCCAAACTACACTTCCCATGCTGCCTTTAAGAATGATGCTATTGTTTTTGGAGGTAAAGGCCATATATGGTAGCTATTTAATCAGAAGAGCTAGTTACATAGATGTTGGTAGTAAAACTGTTTACTGCTATTTTTGTTTGCTGCTCCAGCATCCATTTTGATACAGCTGAACCTGGAGGCAGGAGTGTTACGGTTTTGCAAAAGCAAAGCTTGCAAGGCAGAGGATTTTTAAATAATTCTTAAGTAGAAGTAAGATCTTATTTTACACTTTTTGATAGTATTTTAATATAAAATGGTGGAAGTTCATTCTGGTTAATGTGATTTGGGGTAAATACATTTCTGAGAAAGTCTTAGCAAACACTGTGCGTTCAGAGAAAGGGAAAATTCAGCAGGCTCTTAAAAACAAAAGAAGCCAAAAAAGTTCTAAGGAGAATTATTGTTCTCCAAATATGAAGGTGTTCTCAAGATATGAGGTGTGAATAATATACAGCAACTGAGAAATAGATTAAATATGAGGAAGAGCATTCTAACTGTAAGGACAGTTAATCACAAAAATGTGTTCTCTAGGCAGGTTGTAAAAAACCTCCAATGAGCAGATTAGACAAGTATCTGTCAGGGATTGCCTAATGACCTGTTTTAGTCTCTCTTGAAAAAATGAGCAGGAGTAACTAACCTTTTGAGATTCCCGATACCTCTGTTCTTGAGTTGATGTGTATGTACCTCTTACACTAGGCTGCTTTTAGAAGAATCTGGATTTGTGCTCATGACCCTTTAGAAAGTCAGAATTAAGTACATACAAAAACTGTCTGCTTACCTCACTTTTATCTCTAGGTATCCCCACTGCACTTCTTGTACTGGCAGTCATCTTCTTCATTATTTCAGTTGTTCTAGCAGTCTGCTATATCAAAAAGTAAGTTTTTTTCTTTTTTTATTTTTCTCTTGAACTGAGTTAATTCCTGGAGTACAACCAGTGAATATTTTAAATACATAGCTAAAGAGCAGAGAAGTAATGATTATGACATAACAGTGTAGCACAAAGAATAACATCTTAAACCCTGTTGTTATGCAGATAAAGTTTGTTGTTGCTGTTGCCATTCTCTGCTTTAGAGAAGGAACCAAAGACAAGTATTGCCTATTTGTGAGGAGTCAATCATGCCTAGTGTGAAACATTTCCAAGTGTTCCAAAATAGCGACACTGAATTTGTGCATTTGTTTGTTTGTATATAAGCCTGTTTATACAGTCTTATTCTTGTTTCTTCTATGTGAGACTCAAGGTAAAAGTTTCTATTTTTGGACTATGTTTGTGTTCAGAAAAAAATAATTGTTGAGCTCATTTGTCATACATAAAGGTCTTCAACACAGTGCATCATTAAATCATATCAAAAAGTTGTGTGCATTTCTCACATCCTAGCCCAGACAGCTTTATTGTTATGTACCACGAATATACATTGTCTGTTTTTTAAAAAAAATACAAAAATATTTCTTTAAAAAGCACACTGCTTGAAAAAGCACAGTGATCTAGCATGCCACTATTGTCTGTGAGACTTTTGCTTGGCTATGGTGAAGAAATTTAATTCTAGATATTTTTCACTTTATTTCTGGAGTGATACTACCAAACTATGTCAGTGTTTCTGCTTTACTATCCTTTTTTCTATTTAAAGGTACAAGAAAACATTCCCCTTTTCAAACAAGAATCAGCAAAAAGAAATGGTTGAAACTACTGCTCTCAAAGAGGCTAAGTCAAATGACAAAACATCTGAGAAGGAAACAAAGAATAACGGAAAAAAGGTAGAAGAGTCTAAAACCAAGTCTGAGGCCACAGTAAAATGTCTAGAAGCAGAAGTTTAAGGCGAAGAATGTACACTTCTTGATAGAAATATACAATGAAGCAGACAAAACTTAGCAATGCTTTTAAACATGGGTGATTGTAAATACTCATGAATTTATATTTTTTCTATCTTAATGTATGAAAACTTGTTTTGTTAATAGTTACATCTTTAGCTATAAATGCTCTTGCAGAAGAACATGGTGTCTTATTTACTTGAAATAAATTTAAAAATCCATATTACAGCTCATTTTTCATCTTTAATAAAGAAGTAATTAGGAATATGCTATTAATGACATGCAGTATGTTAACCATTTGCACGGAAGTTAGATCAATATATAATGAAAAGGGTTTTTTTAGGTGACTGGAGGATGTCTGCTAACTTAATGTCTAAAATAAAATGATGATACTGTAGCTCTTCCTCATGTAGATTGGCTTATTTCCATTAAATAGTTGCATACTGTTTTAAAAACAAACAGAAGAAATAAGTCTGTTTACAACTAAGTAAAAAATCAAAGGATCAACCCACTGTCATTCAAATACCCAAGGAAGGGTACAAAGATGCTGATGTTGATACATATGTATATATATATATATACAGCAATGAATAACTTTCTTAGATAGCTTTGTCATATCATAATTTACCATTTTATTTATTAAAAACTGTATCATTCTTCTGCATCAGATATTTGACAGGGGGTAAAAAACTGAACTGTATCTCGAAAGTTATATTTAAGATCCTTTGTGTACATTTAAGAGTCGCTTTCATAATAAAGATGGTATGGGACTTCATAAAAAAATAAAGTATGGTAGAATGTTTGTCTGGACAATTTATTCTCATGAAAACTGTCTCACAGTAAAAAGTGATCATATAACCTTAATGTTACAGAAGTAATTAGTTGTTATAAAAGAACACTATCAATTTATCAAATATTTCCTTGAATAAATGGTTTGGATAACTTATTTTTATATGTGAAGGAGGTTATTATAGCAAAGGAAGTTTCTTTTTAGATCAAGCTGCTTGAAAAACATAGTCTTAAATAAAATAGCAATAGAACTGCTCACCTATCACTAGATAGTGAGTTATAGTGTATTGCTAATAGCATACTTGGAGATTCCCTTCGTTTTTTTGTGGGGTTCCCCCCCCCCTTTTTTTTTCATCTTTCTCTCTCTCTCTCTTTTTATTGCCTAGAAATATTTCACAGCTCCAAGAGACTGGACTGCGTTGATAGGCAGTCCACTACTGCCATTAAAGCTATACTACTGCAGAAAGACTGCGATTCAGTACAGCTCTAAAACCTGCTAATTTCAGATGTCCGTCAACAGAATTTCAGCAGAAAAATGTGCAATAGAGGAAAGCAGTAGATACAGCCTTCCTACTCAGTTAAGTAATTCCTCTCCTTGCAAAATACTGCAGTAATGCCATGTATCTCTCCTGGCAACCTGAACGAAAGCCCTCTGTGCCATGTGAGCAGTGAGAGTA